TTTCTTAAACTTAAAAAAGGTATACTAAGGATTTTCTCTTTATTTCTGCAAAAAGCCTTTAAAATTCAGGGAAAAAATTTCTTTGTAAACATTCTGCCTCTGTGCTATTTTTCTGGCTTTCAATTTATAAACCTGTATGGCCATTTTGTCCACTCCTTATTTAAAATAATTCAATATCACACACTATGCTATAAAAGTTCTGGAATAGTAGTCTCTAACCTTTTAGCAGTAACTATTTTAATCTCCCTAGAGAACCACAGTTTACAAGTAAAAAGTAGTAGCAAGTTGAGTTCCTAATCAGAATGGCATGTTATTACTACACTGCCTACAAGCAGAGCTCACACCTTTTATATTTCTATAATCCAATGCCCAGCACAAAGCCTGACATATTATAGGAGCACAATAAATATTAAATTATAAAGAACTATATATTAGGAATCCCAGAAAACACGGTAAGAAGTGACCAACCAAAAGGCAGGAAGCAGATTAGTTATATAAGTCAGGTTTTGGATGATGCTTTGGATCAGAACTTTAACATGCTTAATAAATCATCCGAGGATCTTGCCAAAATGCAGAATCTGCTTCAGTAGCTCTGGGTGAAGGCTGAAATTTTGCATGTCTAACTAGCTCCCGGTTATGCAAATGCTGCTGTCTGAGAATGACATTTTTTTTTAAGTAGCAAGATGTTAGATAACCTATTTCACTCACAAGTCAAAAAATTCCGGATTACAGACCACCTGAGACATTAACATGTCAATATTCAATTTCATTAAAAGCAGTCCTCATAATGTGTTAGGCTCAATCACTTTTCAGGGCTTAAGATCTCACATGGACTATAACTAGTTTTCAATCTATTTGTCATGGGTATAAGAATAAACAAATTTTGATGAAAAACTTTAAAAAGTTGAGGATGAAAGACAAAGTATAAGAATTCACAATTACTTATATCAGAGTACCCAATGTGCCCATCAGCAAGAGATTTCCCTCTCTTTCATAAATACTTAGTGAACATACAGAAGTCTGGGCACTTTTCAGTCATATCAGTAAGCCCTGAGTCCCTACTTTTGGACTTGAAATTCAGAATATATGAGTAGGTCAGATGCGGTAGAAATTTAAAAGTATTTTTCCATAAAGCAATACCAAGAACTAGGCCAAAGATAAAACTAAGGTTCCCAAACCTGTTTATGTAGTTGACTGTGTTTAGTTATCAGATTATACAGGTAATTTCCTTATCAAGATAATGAAGTGTTTCAACATGAGTTGCCCATCAAAGAGATGCTGGTCAATATAAAAGTATATGCTACTCTGCACTACCTTTAACTACTCGAAACTCTGCTTATATAATGGATTTAGCCAACCCGGATGCAATGTGTGCTATGAAAAATTAAATCAAACTGACTTTGCCTTAAATGTTTCTAATATGCTACCACAGAAGGATATGATGTTGGTACAAGAATATATTTTGTGTAAAAGCGCGCACTTGTTGCTCAGTCTCCATTTGTCAACAACAAAGCTTCATCATGTCTTCAGTCATGAAACACAGTAAAAAAAAAGATGTTCTCATGGAATTCAAATTGGAAACCATGGCCTTCGTAACACCATATGTAGGCCACCTGAACTATATACACATGTGTATTTGGGTGTGCACGTGTGTGTGAATCTAAGAAACAAAATCACATTTTCTAAGGCCCTAGACATTTCATGAGACTTTTTCAGTCTGAAGCAAAACAAACAAAAACACAAGAAAAAATAAAATTAGCAACAGTAACAGCAAACAGAATTTATGTTCTATCAGGACAAATCCTTGTGTTTTGTCTGCTGTATCCCCAGTGCCTAAAACAGTGCGTAGGAATCAGCAGGTATATTATAAATATTTGCTGAATGACTGAATTAAAACTATTCCTGAATGCGCATATCCAGGATTATTCTCAGTGCTTTACGTTCATTATCTCATTGAATCATTACAACTTTAGAAAACAGACACTATCACAATCCCCACTTATAGAAAAGGACATTAAGGCACAAAATGGTTAAGCTCAGAATCATGGTACAGTAGGGATAATATATATGTAATCTAAATATTAAAATCAAAGCTTGAAAAGCATCACTATTATACTCCTCCCCCTCAAAAAAAAGTAAAATATCTATCTGGAATTTGTGTAAGATTTTGTACTATATTTTTGGAGGGACATAAAGACCTCTGAACAAATCTAAACAACATGTTTTAACATTAACTAATAATTGTTAAATATGAATCAATGTTGAGACCTACTATGTGCTTGGCTGGTCTAGTACCTCATGAATAAAATAGAAGTATATGTCATAATCCATGTCCTCAAGAAGTGTTACGTATCTTTACCTTAATCAAGCACTGTATATTTTTAAATTAAGTGAATTTTTTACAAATAACTATACTTTCCAGAAAATATTTCACTGCATGTTATATAGTTCTACTCCAGGAAACAAATCTGAGGAAAATCAAAATACTTTACCTGGTTCAGTAAGTAAAGAATCTTTGTAAGAATATGCAAACATCTTCTTGGATTGATGGGTGTTTCATTGAATATACGAGCCTATGGGACAAAAAATTGTTATACATAGCATATTTTCTATCATTTGTATAACAGATTACAAAAAATCAACTTTAATCAAATAGACTATTACATAGTTTGATCACAATACCCAAATAATGTGAATTGCTTACAGTTTTCAATTTATCACAGTATATGATACATTATTAAATATGGTCTTGATTTTCCATTCCACACTAACTCCCTCCCTTAGATCAGGTACTTCAACTTTATGGGCTTTCTGTGTTAAGAATCACAATATTTATCTACAGCATTTGAATACAATTAGTTTAATGTCTACAACTTCCTTCAGTAACCTTGTACTAAACACCTCTTTGGAATTTTATTTAAAATTATCAACATGGGGACGCCTGGGTGGCTCAGTCGGTTAAGCGTCTGCCTTCAGCTCAGGTCGTGATCCCAGGGTCCTGGGATCGAGTCCCGCATCGGGCTCCCTGCTCCGCGGGGAGCCTGCTTCTCCCTCTGCCTCTGCCTCTCTCTCTATCTCTCATGAATAAATAAATAAAACCTTTAAAAAAATAAAATAAAATAAAATTATCAACATGTGGGAGAGTCTGCATGTTTTTACATTTCTATAAGCTCTAGACCCTCCTAGGATAAGTAACCCGTCTTCTTTTTCCCTCAAGTCTGGATTCTCCGAACACAATATTACATTCCTCAATTCTTATTTTGGGTCATCATATTCCAGGGGCTCTCTGCCCACCATTCTAAAATGGAATAGAAAAGAACACAGCATACTTCCAAGTCATACCTCCTGTAAAACAGCACTCTTCTCCAGATGCCGGAAAGGATTGGAGCCACTGCCTATATTATAAACAAAAAATGCCTTTAAGAGCTGTCCTAGACAAACTTATTGTCTACAGAACGGTACTGAATGCTTGGGATAGCTCACCTAAGTGAAGTGACCACTTGGATATCACAGTGACAATCATTACTCATACACATATAAATTGAATAAAATCATTTTGATTCTGGTACTAGCTGTCATTGCTAGTCATTGAAGATCTTGTACTCTTTTGCAGGATCCCTGCCCAAAATGAGCGTCTTCTTCCCCTCTCCGCTTTTCACACGAATGTGACAAGTATATGTCATGTGCACACAGCTAAGATTAATGAGACTGGCTGGGCCCTTTGGATTTCCCCAAAGGCAAGCACGATCTTACATGTTTCCAACAATTACTGAGAAGCAGAAAAGAGTTAGCAAAGAATCCTATCAAGCTGGAAGGGGCCATGGAGATCTACTAACCCAAACCTCGACCACACCATGGGAAAGCAGCACCAAACACTGAGGGTTTTTGGTTTGGGAGTTTGGGGGGGTTTGTTGTTTTTAGGTGGCTTGGCATCTTCCCCATTTGCTCTGGACGCAACTCACTTTTGGATGCCTGAGCATTAAATGACCGATGTACCATGGGACAGTCTTAACCCCCTGGGAAGCGGACAGAGTTAAGGTCCCCGGGAAGACTGGAAGGTACAAGGCACTTCCAAGTTCATACACACACACACGCACGCACATACTGTCCCGTCGAGCACAGACCCACTCTGGGCCTACCACTACCAGCACCCCCCGCTCTCACACGCGCGCACCCACTCCCTCCGCCACGCGCCGTGGGCCCGCCTCCTCTGCGGGCAGCCCACCCCCGGCGAGCGCGGCGGAGGCTGCTCCGAGGGGCTGCGCCAGGGGGAGGGGGCGGGGGCGGGAGCGGGGGGCGGGGCCGCCGAGCTGCCCGACGCGGCGCGCGGGCGCGGGGCCGGAGCGCGCGACCCGAGGGGAGGCTCCGGCGCCCGGGGGAGGGGCTAGGGGCAGGCCCCAGGCTGCAGCAGAGCGGAGCCGGGCGGAGGGAGGGGCGGGCTCCAACTCCGGCCCCCTGGCACACCGGCGCCCACGCCTTCGGGCCCCCGAGAGCAGGTGGCGGCGGGCGGGGAAGGGGCCCCCGCGGCTGAGGGTGGGCGTCAGAAGCCCAGCGCGTACCAGACTCCTCGTCCTTCTTGTCGAATTTTTTAATCATCTTGGACGACTTCCCAGCGCCCAGACCCACCGCAACCGTCCCAGGCGCCGCGGCCGGCGAGCGGAAGAGGCTGCAGGAAGGCCGGCCCCGTGCTCAGGCGCCGGTTGGGTCGCCGTCCCGTCACTCGGGGAGAAGGCCCGCCCTCCCCCGGCTGCCGCGGCCGCTCTGGTCCCCTAGGGACGCGGCCACGCCCTCTCCTCCTCCCCCAGTCGGGCGGAGGCGGGGCCAGGCGCTGGGGCCCCTGCAGCGACAGGTCGGAGACGGGGGCTGGCCCTGGCCAACCCTGCCAGCGACCGGGCAGCCCAAGCCCGGAGCGGGCAGAATGCGGTTTTATTTGGTTGACACGCCCTGGATGGTGACTTCTGCAGGCCCCTTAGTCTCTGGAGACCGAGGCGGGGAAGCCTGGAGGGTTTGTTTTCACTTGACGACTGTGGCGTTTTTTATAACCCACTGCTGGGCCCTTCCATTGCGGAAGGTGCTCTCCCCTGGCACAGTTCTGGTGAGTTTCTCTTCCAGGAGCGACGAAAGGGTTAGTGGTTCCCACATCAGCTTGGAAGTCGGCAGGTCACTTCCTGACTTGGCGACTGCAACAAAGCACAGGGCACCTTGGTAAATGTGGATTTCCAGAGGATCTAAAAGGACACTCAGTGTGAGGCAGGAAAGAGACCCCCTTGGAGAGACCAGGAAGCTGGTCTTTACTCTTATAGCAAGAGGGTAAATTTTGGACCACGGACTACCATGCCCAACCTTCTTTATAGTTCTGGATCCCTTCCCTTCATCAAAACCCAGTTTAAGACACTGCCAGTTTGGAGTCTTCCCTGTTTCATCCCGCCCCTTTCAAATGATTCCACCTGCAACCATACTGACACTTAGATAACTCTTAATAAGATGCATTCACTTGTATATTCATATTCCTCTGAGCCTTTTCCTCAAGTTGCATGTGGTTTTCCGTTCTCCTGTCTGAGAGTGTACCTAAGAAACTGTTTCTACCTTTGGCTTCAGTGTCCTCACTTTATCCAGATTCTCTTTCAACCTCTGCCTGTCCTTGGAAGCTTCCATCCCGGGCTCTTTTTGCTTCCATCCCTCGCACTTTTTTGATGCAGTATGTCTTGTAAATATCCCTTGGATCTGTTTCCTTATTCCTACTGCTATCACCTTCATTCTGGCCCTATCATCCATCTCTTGGACAGCCTCCTAATCAGCCCCCATCCAATTATGGCCCCCATCCAAACCATTTTCTACCTAATCTTTCTTTATTTGGATGCCTGGCAAACATGGAACGTGACTGGCTATTGGCAGAAGGAGGGTTTGCTAGCAGTCTCTCTTACTTGAAGCGGAGACATTGTTTCAACTTCACAGTCCCCCGCCCCAAACTGTCTTTGTTTAGGGAAAGCATCACAAGGGGCCCTTTAGATGCATAAGTCAAGTAAGTAGGTACTCAATTTTCTTGGGAGAAACTGTAAAGTCACCAAAAATCTACTAATTGCTATAGACTGAGATATTAAGTGTTCTGTTTAGAAATGTAAATTGGGTAGATCCTTAAAGGTTCATGCCCTTGAAAAATTAGAGAAATTCTAATCTAGATTGGATTCTAGATTCTAGAGAAATTCTTTCCCCCAATATTGACTTAAACCAAACTGCTGATATCCTACATATAGTCATTTAAGATTTAACTCCAGCTTTACTAAATGTGCTATTAACTTATGTTCATCTTATCTTGCTTATAAAGCTCAAAACTTGCCTCGGTGGAGGGGTGGAATTTCCCTTGAAGGAAATAAATATCCCTACTTATTATTCCAGGGCTGGGGGGGAAAAAAAACAGTCTTGGTGCTTGATAAGTGCTCAACACTTATAGTTGTCCCATCAGTGTTAAATGAATGATAATGTGTGGGGAGAATTGTCACTGCATTCTCTTCCATAAAACCTTATCCCAAACCCCTTCCACACCATGTCCTGCCTCGACCCCAAAGAAACTCATGAACTTCTGAAACCCACAGACTTATCCTTTGGTCCTTCTAGAACAGTTTTCCACAAAGTGTGACGTGCATAATACAAGGCAGATTTGGGTGATACATAAATATTTTAAATTTTAATTACTATAGATTTGACTAAATGTATGTCAGAAAAAAACATGTAACTAGTATATCATATGATATAGTATTAAGAAAAGAACAACAAAAAACTTTTAAAGAAAAACATTATATAAATAACAAGGCAAATAATACATCAATATGGCCCAAACTATTAAAGTGGTAGGTGAGTAGTTTGGGAAACACTATCCTAGAGCTTTATTGAAATTTGAGGGTTAAAAATAAAAGAAACGAAATTTGAGGGTTTAACAGAGTCCAAAGCCTAGTATCAGTCAGGCCTTTTAACAGTTCTTAGCTTCCAGGCTACAAGGAAAAACAGTCTCCAGAACCTCCATAAGAAATGTTGATTTGTCCTTATCTCTTGCCCCCAAAAGGTTGTCCCTCTTGCCCACATCTCAGATCTGTAAGCCTTTGCTTTAAAAGAAAGAAACTTACCATCTTTCCTCATATCTCTTTTACAGACTGAAGCAAAGTTGAGCTGGGGGTACATTTTTTTCTGTTTCCTCAAAGCATAGACCTTTAAATACTTCCCTTCACTCTTGAAATCATTGTTGGTGGAAAACCTTAAGAAAGAAAGCTCATTTAGTAGATCCTAGGCCAGGGGGTTAATGGAACCAGTCACTACACTCTACTTCTGGGGGAGAAGAAAGGACAGTCACCAGAGAGTGCTCATTGGTATGGAGTGGGAGTATTGCTTAGTGGAAGGGATGCTTCTAGAACCTAGCATTGTAAATCTGTGAAGGAACTCTAAAATCTCTTCTCAGGCCCATAGGTGGCTCAGTCAGTTAAGCATCTGCCTTCGACTCAGGTCATGATCCCAGGGTCCTGGGATATAGCCCCATGTTGGGCTCTCTGTTCAGCAGGGAGCCTGCTTCTCCCCCTCCCTCTGCCATTCCCCCACCCCAACCCCAATTGTGCTCTCTGGCTCTCTCTGTCAAATAAATAAATAAAATCTTTAAAAAATAAAAATTTTAAGAATCTAAAAAATAAAAACAATATAAAATCTCTTCTCTCCTCCCCACATTAGATGGGGGCTGCTCCTATAACTAGTTTCAAATGAAATCTAATAGCACATTGTTCTTAAGCTACGGCCCTTCACATGCACTGAGAGACAATGTTGTTCTATTTCCTCTCATAGATCTTTGAGTACTCTTTTCACTCTTGAAAATCATTCTCAGTGGAAAAACCTTAGTTTTGCATTATTGTTTCTTTTCATTAGGGTATAAATGAGGTTGGGGGTCATGTAGGAAAGCTGTCTTATTATTATGCAGTTATGTATATTTCCTACAATCAAAAAGCTTTTGTTAAATTGTGATGAAAAGAGATAGTAACATGAATAAGGAAATGATAGGAAGAAAATGAGTACAAGAGCCGGGACTTCACCTAAACCACTGTTCTCGCTTGGATGTAGGATCCTCCAACAGAGTCATAGGAAAGGTTGGTTTCAGCCCAGACCTTAACTTTTTTTTCTGAGACATCAGGGGTAGGCAGAAGTTCTCAGGGGGTTTGTGCCGATAACTTTCCTGCAGCAGAGGAAAGAAGAGTAAGTGAGGGAGTAAGCTGAGCCCTTGCGACTGAACTAATTTCCTGGACTAAACTTCAGTTCCTCTAAAATGATGCAACAAAACCTGTCAGAGAGGGAAGAGCGGACTGAAATCAAAAGAAAAGGAAGCAGTTCCCTGAGTGGGCTACTAGAGTTGACCCCTCTTATCCATAGAAGATACATTCTAACACCCCCAGTGGATGCCTGAAATCATGAATAGTACCGAGCCCTCGATACACACTATATTTTTTCCTATACGTACATACCTATGATAAAGTTTAATTTATAAATTAGGCACAGTAAGAGATTAATAACAACAATCAATAAAATAGAATAATGACATTGTAAGAAAAGTTATGTGAATGTGGTCTCTCTCTTTCTCACTTGAAATAATGTACTGCCCTGACCCTTTTTCTTCTTGTGCTGATGTGAGATGATAAAATGCCCACATGATGAGATGCAGGGAGGTGAGTGACCTAGGCATCGTGACTTAGCGTTAGGCTACTCCTGAAGGAGAATCATCTGCTTCTGGCCCCCAGGTTGACTGTGGGTAACTGAAACCACAGAACGCTAAACTGCAGATGAGAGGTGGGGGGTGGGAACTCTGAACCCATTTGTTTTGTTGCCAGATGACATGTCCAAAGCTTGGTCAGTGTCTTAAGTCATTGATTGGACTTGTCCAGTGGCCCTTTGAAGTGAATGGTAGAGGACTTTACCCAGTTTTGAGAAGGATTCAGTTAGTGAATCACTTAGGAAACTGAGCACTTGGTAATAAATTGGGAAAGAAATCCATGGGACGCTACCTTCTTTTCTCAAAGATGACTGCCTCATTCACATTCCATTCTCTGTCTGCAGTGGAAAGGTCATGAAATGGGATGTTTTGTGAGATTATCATTTCACCATTACTAAAGGTCATAGAATCAAAGACTTTAAGGAAAGATCTTAAAGGTCACCCAGTCTAACCATTCATCTGACTCTCTTATCCCCTCCACAATATTACTATCAAGTGGCCAATCTTCCTGTACCTAAAAACTCAACCTATTTCTCTTTGCTCAGCTGTTGGCTGTCCCCCCCACAACTTCTACCCGATAGCCCAAACAGAACAAATCTAGTGTCTCTCCCGCAGTCCTTAAAGAATTTGAAGAGATCCATCACGTGCCTTCTAAGCTCGTTCTCCTCTCTTAGGCTCAACATTGCCCCTATTTTGAACTTTTCTTCTTGTGATCTGGCTTTGGGCTCTCTATCCTCCTGATTTTTCCTGTAACTCATTTGAGAAAGCTACTGTTTATATTCTTCCTAATGTATGGCAATCTGAAATGAAAACAATATGCTAGCAACAGTAGGACACATCCCATCACCCTGTTAAAGTCTCTATTCAAATGTCATCACCTCTTCTGAGAGTCTTGTTTAACTACGCTATCTAAAATTGCCCCTCACACCCATCGTGCTCCATTCCCTTATCTTGCTTTGTCATGGCACTTACCACATTCTACAGTATCTGTTTGCTTACTTAGGGTCTGTCGGCCTCCCTAGAATTAAATTTCATTCTGGTGGACTTCGGTGTAGTCACTGATCTATCCCTACTACCCATAACAGTGCCTGGCACAAAGTTAGGTGCTCAATAAATACTTGTTGAATCAATGAAAGACTAAATGAATGACCAGACTGATTAAATGACACATACTGAGCTGATTCTCACAGAATTTTAAAGCCTCTTAAAAAAAAATACTTCCTGTTGAACCATGTCTTTTAAATTCTGTACTCGTTCTCTTTAAGCTCTTCCAGTTTTGAGGAACTTCTGTTCAAGTTACCTCAACAAATAGAGGTTTTACTCTAAGAGCACATGTGCCTAGGAGCTAAGAGTCTGGCCGCAAAAAGAGCAGAAACGTTACCAGAGCTAGACCTCATGGCAGAAAAACAGGAGTGGAAAAGTATTTGGGATTCAGGACAGCACTAGCTAAGGACTACCACGGCATGAGTTGGTGTATCTCATCTCTGGTGCCCTATCATTAGCTTGTCTCCTACTTTCTCCCTGTCAGCTTCCTTCTCTCTCTCTATCGTGTCTACTCCCTACCTTTATTCTGTATGTTTCTTCTACCTGTAGCTTCCGCTAATTCATTTCTACTTCTCTAGAACTTTATCCTGCCCCTCCTCTGATTTCATGGTCCCTATACTCCCCTCTTCCTCCTGGTTTAATTTTTTTTTTTTAATGGCTTCTCTCTACCTGTCCTTTCAGCTTTCATTCCCACTGCCTTCATCTTCCCCTTTCCCAACTCAGGTGCCTGGAAGCAGGAATCTGATCGGTCTGGGGATTTTTGGCTGTTGATAGGTTGGTTGACTTTGGTGAGGGTTTGGTTTTGGCTTTTGGGGGTTTTTTTGTTTTCATTTCAGGATACCAATCTGTACCATGGGTCACTGATCAGCCTATGAATTTTGCTTCACTGGGTCTAGTGTCCCCCTCAGGTCCCAGGTCTGCAGTGGAAAGGTCATGAAATGGGATGTTTTGTGAGATTATCATTTCACCATTACTAAAGGTCATAGAATCAAAGACTTTAAGGCATCCTTTTCTTCATGGGTGGTGGTAGGGCCATTTCACTTAGAAGAGGCTGTGAGTTAGCCATCCCTGTGACAGACATGCTTGCTCCGATCTTCGATTTGCCTGCTGGAACCCACCCTTTTCTTATACCTGTGCCTGCGCATAGCAAAAGAATGCTTCTTTTGTATACGATCTTAGGCTCACTAAATACTGTCACATTTGTCTAGCAAGGGAAAGGGGGGTTGCAGCGTAAATATGAAAGAAGCGTTCTAGATATTGGGCACTTGTTCCAGAGAGCCTGTAGAATTACCATGGTGTCAGTCTTTGACAATCAGTGCCTTAACTCTATTACTACAATTTGGCTGGTAGCACAATTTGCTCATGAATGTGATCAGGTCCTGCAAGTCATTTGGAAGGCTCATATAGTACCAGCTGTTGGAAGAAAGTTCTTCTTACATCAAGCTACACGATAGTCTTGTATTTCCTTCTCTACCTTGAGTAGGACAATCCTAGCCCGGCATTCATTCCTCTCTCAGTGTACATTACCCATAACCACTGAGAACTGACCATGGAGTTTATGCTCAAAGGGCACAAATTCTGAGACCCAAGAGACCATAGGCAATGAATTCGTTAACAAACTCATGTTCAGCATGTATCACCGCGTATTAGCATTTTACCCTCCATTTGGAGAGGAAGTTTTACTGCCATTCATCTAGGACCTAAGGAAGCACGAACCTCAAATTCACCACATTGTATCACAAGGGTCTGTCTTGGGTAATTTCTGTGATAATTAGATTCTTTTGTTTGCACTTTCGCTTTATTCAATTTCTTCTGGTCGTATTAGGCCTGCTCTCAAGGCTGTCAAGATCTTTTTTATCTTTTAAATAAATAAATATCTTTTAAATTTATTTTCTTCACTTCCTCTGCTATTTAGTCCAATTCTTCAGCATCTCTCACCTTGACTGTTGTAGTAACATCGCAACTAATCTTTCTGATTTGTATCTCTTCCACAGTGAACACATCTTTCTCCCAACCTCCAAAAACAGTCTTTCTAAAATGCCAATTTGATTATACCTTTTATGTCCCCCTCATTTACTCTTTCACATCTCCATAAATGTGCCTCACTTTCGTGGGTCTTCATGCCTCTGCCTTTTCCTCTGATGGGGATATTCTCCCATTCTTTTGTCAGGGGATTCCTCCTCTGTAAAACCTCCCTGATGACTCCCTTTCCACCAACAAAGATACAGAGCTCTATTCTACTTTAGTTCTGTATCTCACATATTCTCTTATTATCCATATATCCTGGTATATTATAATAACTTGTATATTTCTCATGTATTGAGCAGTGTCTCCTACTAGACTCCAAGTTCCTTCCAGATAGAAACTATTCTGAAAGCATCTTTATATTTTAGTTCTTTGTTTAGTGTATGTTCAGCAATTGTTTATTGGATTGAACATGAACTTCTATAGTGTAGAATCAAGTCCCAAATGTCTGGCTGCCATGATAGTAAATTCTCTGCTCTGTTCCTCTCCACTTCTCCTGACACCCAAAAGCAGTGGGTGTAAAGCATAATAACCCTTTACTCATTTCCCATTAGTTATTTCTGGTCCTCATTCTTCATTTCCTGATTTATCCTTTACTGCTTTATACTCAACTAGAAAGCCAGTGGCTATTTCACCTTTGGTTAATTACAAACTAAATGTCTTTGGCCAAGGAGGAACAATTTCTAATTAGGACCATGCGATGAAGTTTCATGGCACAAGCTTGTGCAATTCTGAGCCTTTCTCAGGCTCTCCAGATTATGTGTGTGTGTGTCTGTGTGTGTGTATGTAAGTACAGAGCAAGGAGAAAGAAGGAAGAAGCTGGCTCCTGAATACCATCTTCCCTGTTAATTTAACTCCCTTCTTCAAGCTAGCTCCCAGTTCCTGGGGGTCCTTCCTCAGGATGCCAGGATGCTTCCCCATGTGTCATTACCTTGAGTAGCAACTCCTTGGAAAAGTATTTTGGGGCCATGTCCTTTCCTTGCTGGTCAGTTGGGCAGGGAAGTGGGTTGTTGGTCATAATCAGTAAGGTCTTATCCTGATCGTACTCTGCTACTTTTAACATGAAGCTTCTGATTTTCCTGTTTCGAGCCAGGATTTTCTGCAGGGCTGTGGGCTTCAAAGGCTCATAGTACTGGGCCTGAGCAACACAGAGGTTTCCAGAGAGACAAAGGGATTAGATCAAGACAAAATTAACAAATCAATTGGCTAGGGGAGGGACAGAGGCTGTACATAGGCTGGACAAATCTGCTCTGAAATTTGTTTTACAGAAAATATCTGAACCTCCCCATCCCTTTCTGCTCTCAGAGCAGTCCCCACAAATAGTCTAAGGGGTGAGGAAATGAGTTGGAAAAGTTTCCACATAAAAGGAGCAAGATGACTTAGTTCTTCTGAAAAAGCGTCACATCTCGCCCAACACGATGGGGCAAACAGAAGTTTCCATGTTAAGCCTAAATGGCCTTCTCTACAACTCTCTCTGAGGCAAAGGGAGAAATTGCCAGAGACCAAAGCTCCTTCCTTGTTCAGGGAGCCCAACACAGCGCCTGTCTGCATCTTCCCACCCACCGACATTTCTCCACAGGCACAACCACATTAATGTGCCTAATAAGCACAACCTTATAAAGGAAAAGAAGTCACAAAAGACAACATGTCATTTAAGATGTGGTGGGAGAAGGGGCTGTCCCACTAAATTTGCTTTTCTGTCTATAGGAAGGAGGCAGAGGATTAGAGAGGGAGAGAATAGAGTACCTCTGATTAGAAATAGGTTTTCTCAACTTAAAAATAAATCAGCTGCAGGGCACCTGGGTGGCTCAGTCAGTTGGGTGTCCAACTCTTGATTTTGGCTCAGGTCATGATCTCAGGGTAGTGAGACTGAGCCCTACAGCGGGCTCCATGCTAGGTGTGGAGCCTGCTTGGGATTCCCTCTCTCCCTCTCCCTCTGCCCCTCCACTCCCACCCCACCTCTGCGTGCGCATGCTTGCGCACTCTCTCTAAAAAAATACCAAAAAAATCAGCCGCAGGGACCACCTTCTTCCCAGTTCCTCCCTTGTCCCTCACCGTCACCACACTCAGCACTGCCCCTGGTGTAAGTGTCCCAGGACAGCTCTGCTTCCCTGTGCTACAAGCCTGTGCAGTCACAGAAGCTGGTGGCACCACTCCTGGACCTTACTCTTAGGGACCTTGGGGGGATGAATCCACCTACCAAATTCGGATGGACCGTGTAATGCTGAAGGTTCTTCAGAACAAATTTTGATTGCCCGACTGTATCACAAATCTAGAGACAATAACTGAAATCAGTGGTTTCAAGTTGCACCAAGCCTACACAATATTCCATTCCTCACCTCCACTCCATCTGACTAAAAACTGGTCTCTCATTTAAACTAAGTGAGGACAACACCGTGCTTCAAGGTTTGTACCCTGGGATTCTGGAATGCGGACCACAGCAAAGAGAGCTGGGTTCTGAGGCATCCCAACAGGGAAGCTTGTACATGGACGTGTGGACCCACTTCATGGATGGCAGGTAAAGCTATGAGGGGAAGTAGGTAACGGCAGCATCAAAGTTCAGACGAGGACAAATCACTCCAAGGCATCCGAACTCTTCCTTCTGCCCTTTCCATTTCTATAAGAAATCAGGTGAAAATCAACATGGAGGACACCCTCTGAGGAGAAAAGCAAGTCGTAAAAGGGCAATCACCTAAGGGTCGTAGTGGACGGGAGCCGCAGGGACCATTGCCTGCCGAGATGGAGGCAGACATATGGAGGAAGGAAGAAACAATGGTGCATTTTGTTTTGCTTTTTTTTTTTAAGATTTTATTTATTTATTTGAGAGAGAGAGAATGAGAGACAGAGAGTAGGAGAGGGAGGAGGGTCAGAGGGAGAAGCAGACTCCCTGCCGAGCAGGGAGCCCGATGCGGGACTCGATCCCGGGACTCCAGGATCATGACCTGAGCCGAAGGCAGTCGCTTAACCGACTGAGCCACCCAGGCGCCCTGCTTTGTTTTTTTAATATTTCTACAGTACGTGATTCTTCCAGAAATGTTGACCAAAAATAACTGAATGTCAATAATACTCCTGTCCACCACTTTGCATTTTTCCGCTGGTGGACGTGCTGGTGATTGGCAGACGGATAGAGTGTCGTGTCTTGGTTGTACAGTTGTTGGGCCTCCTGCCTCTCCTTCCCTGACCCCGATGTTGTTGCCTAGCCTCTAGCTCAGCTGTAGGTCACCCAGAGATGAGTCAAAGGGATGAGGACACAAGGAGGGAAAAGCTCTGAGTTACCGCCTTTGGGCTCGGCATAATCAGAAATCAGAAAAAGAGGAGCAGGCACAATCCTGTGTTTGGATCAGCATTTCCAAAGATTGCCATGCCCGCAAGGAGGTGATATGGTAAGATGGGGTGCAGAGGGACGGGAACGTGCATTGAAAGGTGAGAAAAGCATGAATGTGAATGGAAAAGAGGGAAGAAGTAAGGGTGGGACAGAACTGTGCCATGAAGGGAGGAAAATGCCAGGGGCTGGCAATGCCGAGGGGCTGGGGGGACAGGGGACAGACCAGGAGGACTATCCAAGCCATGCCATGCATTCCACAAGGAACAATGGGAAGAGATAAATCCAAAGATGCAATGATTTAATTTTATTATCTTTTTGGAAAACTGAAGTCCCTTTGTTCAAAACAAAGATATATTATGAACAATCTGCTTCACAGATAGGATGTATATATTCAGAATCATAGAAGTCTCAGAAAATTTTGAGAGAAAGATGTGAAAACTTTTCTTTTGTAGGTTTTTGTTTTTGTTTTGTTTTTTTGAGAGGGGGCTGGTAGGGAGGAGCATAAAGTCTAGCTACATAGGGTTTCTAAGATAAGTTTATGGTCCCTGGCTTCTAGCCCTGATTTGTTGCTGATATGTTCCTGTCTCTTTTCTAAGTCTCTGTTTCCCTTTCATAAAATTAGGATAAATTAACCTTGCTCTCTATATAAATCTTAACCCCTTTTTGCTTTTCAACAGGAAGTTTGAGAACCCAACTTATAAAGTACTCTAACTTGGGGTGCCTGGGTGGCTCAGTCTTTAAGCTTCTGCCTTTGGCTCAGGTCATGATCCCAGGGTCCTGAGATGGAGCCCCGCATTGGGGGCTCCCTGCTTAGTAGGGAGCCTGCTTCTCCCTCTCCCAATTCCCCTGCTTGTGTTCCCTCTCTTGCTGTGTCTCTGTCAAATAAATAGATAAAATCTTTAAAAGAAAAATAAAGTATTCTGGGGCGCCTGGGTGGCTCAGTCGTTAAGCGTCTGCCTTCAGCTCAGGTCATGGTCCTGGGGTCCTGGGATCGAGTCCCACATCGGGCTCCCTGCTCTGCAGAGAGCCTGTTCTCCCTTTCCCACTCCCCCTGCTTGTGTTCCCTCTCTCGCTGTGTCTCTCTCTGTCAAATAAATAAATAATTAAAAAAAAAAATAAAATAAAGTATTCTCTTTCTTCTAATGCTCTTTCTTACCTCATCATTATCAATCACTATTCCTTTCTCAAGTTTAACTGAGCTGGTTCCTGGAATGTTTGATTTGCTTTGTTGAAACCTAAAAAAGAAGCAGAATATCCAATTGTATTTTCTTACTCTGAGGCCTGGTCTTTGGCGTGTTCTCAATCTCCCTCAATGAAGTTTGGGAGCCTGACTTAGAAGAGCCCAATTTGGGGGATCACTAATTGAATATATACTTAGAGTAAAGAATAGGATTCATTATCCAGCCTGCATGTTGGGGGAAAACAAAACTTCAGTTTGAAAAGTATCCTTAAAGACCACCTACTATTTTGAATGCCTACCTGCCTACTCTTCTCTGCAGGGAAATGACTCTACCTTTGCCAATAACTGATTCCATGAGAGGGATATTATTAGTGGGAGTTCACAACTGAATACACTTCACAAATTTGCATGTCATCTTTATGCAGGTACCATGCTAATCTTCTATCATTCTAATTTTAGTATATATGCTGATGACATGAGCACAAATTTCCAATTCTTAATGACCATGCTTGGACTACTGGCTCCCTCTTGTACCTAACCATATCTAGGTTTCTCTATCTAGAACTAAGATGATAAAATCATCAATGGCAAATATCCTCATACTCTGTTCTTTCTCTTGCTTTTTGATCCCCTACCCAGATACCAGTTCCTTTTGGAGAAAAGAGGGAGACAGACGTTACAATATTTAGTAAGAAAGTATTTTAGATTCCTTGACTAATTCTACTAAACCCATTTAGTGCCTAAACATAGTGAAAGATGCTCATCCATAAGATTGGGTTAATGATTAAAAGAAATGGCCTGCTTCCTCCTTGGAGATAGTTCCTATTTAGGTATTCACCTAGCTTACATTAAAGTAGGAGCCTGGGACTACTTGAAGTAGACCTCTCTCCTCTAAAAAATGAGGGTGGCAGTGCAAGGACCAAACTAAGAAAAGTAGAAATAGCCAAGATATGTAGTTGGCAAGTCAACAGCTGTAGGGTGGTACAAATCATCCCGAATCCAGTATCAAGTCCCATCCAAGCATGGCTCACTTCCATCTGTTGCTGCCTACCAACTTCATCATTAACTCACGCCAGAGGTCTTAAAAAATAGTCTCAAGGGGATCAGGTGACACATTGGGGGTAGACCAAAATAAGTTCATCCCCAGTTAACATCTTAAAGTTGGTACCCTTTTGATGTGTCCTATTACCTTAAGCTATCTCATAATAATATACTATAATCTTTATTATAGCACTTTTCAAAATGCTTCTTTATTATTTCAAAGAGAGCACAGGATCCCAGATACTCTTTTTTAAGGCCAATTTAAGGCATAGAGCTGTGGGAAAAATGTTCCTTCAGTCCAGCAGTGTCGACAAGGACAGTCTGGAGCTTTCCTTTTGATAATGCTACTCTAGTTGCTGCATGAAACACACACCAAGATCTGGGTTTTGGCCTGAGGACAGTCAGTCAATTAGAACATTTTTAATGAGAGTCTACTCTGAGACTAGACCTGTTCAAAGTGATATGAGCTCCCATCCAACTAACCAGGCCCGACCCTGCTTAGCTTCCGAGATCAGACGAGATCGGGCGCGTTCAGGGTGGTATGGCCATACTACAACATACGTTTGTATAAAATGGTATTCATAACTTAGTGGGGCAAACAAAACTACACACTTGGTATGTCCCTTTTGGCCCATTGCTGTTCACTGCTAAGTGGGCCAATCCAAGGTAAGTATTCACCCAGAGGCCAAATTCAATGCCTCCAAAGAGTCCACGTTCTGCAGGGGCTCAATTCAATCCAGTCCTTCCTTAGTGCACACCATGTGCCCAGCCCCGTTCTTGATCCTGTGTGGGAGAAAGAGAAGACTGGTAGGTGTTGTTGTGAATGCAGAATATGCACTAGACATGATGACCTTTGTCCTCAAGAACTTAGGTGGTAAATGGTGGGGTGGAAGGGGTGGGGGGAGAGGAAGTGACCATTACATTTGAAACAAGAATGGCAACTATATGCTAATATATTAGGTAAGTCATTTCATCTCTGGGGCCTTGTAAAAATGAAAAGAGTTAACCAAATGATTTAAAGATAATATTCTAATTCCTTTAGACAGTGGTAAGATTTCCCTACATTAAGACCTGAAATAAAATTGACTCACGGGTCAGTAATGGGAGAAAGTTGGAGAACAACGGTGCTTTCATTTATCTCCCCTTTCAATACAACCATGCTCCCATATGTTAGGCCTGTGAAGCTAGGGAAAGTGTGTGTATATGTGGATGTGGGGAGAGGGTGGCAAGGAATTGCTACATTTTTTTTTTTTATATATAGACAATTTAAAATGGAAGCTAAAAGTTGATGATGTACAAGCCACCATTTAGAGAAGAGAGGTCAGTGAGGCTTGGAGGGACATTTCCTAAAAGATGTGGAGCTTGAGCCATGACCCTATAAGATGGTGTGTGAAGTCACCTACCTAGAAGGTATTTGTTGTTGTTGTTCTAGGTAGTAAGACATAAAAGTGGATATAGGTAGGATGGGATCGAATTATGGGGGTCTTGGCAATTAAGTAGAACTTTGATAGACCTATCAGCCCAAGCTCCTATAAAGCCTGCGGGTTTGGAGGAAAGACTGTGTTAGTGTTGACAATGCCAATAAGTGATTGTTTAAGGTTTATATCTAGTTTGATTGTCTAGACATAAACCCTAAAGACAATTGTCTAGAGTTTATGACTAGACTGAGCTAAACTCTGAAAATTCCCTCAAGGGGAGTAGATTAATGAGCTTTTCAGCCTTTTCTCACCTTTAGTTTACTGGAATCGTGAGTCCAATTCATGTGTATATTGAAACTACAATAATTAGAAGCCATCAAACTGGGAGGTACAAATCTTGGGCTACCTTTTTGCCACCCAGGGTGGAAAAAACAAAATCACACAAACACAAAAACCACATCCGAAACAAAAAGAGAAAGATCTGGTGTACAATACCTTAAAGGACATCAGGAAACCCTATTTCATTGAGGAAAGGGAGATTCCTTGGCACCAAAACTTTCCATTTGGAAGTGTCTTATTATTTTCTTGATTCTGGAGAAGACACAGGAATTTGTGATGAACAGGCAATCTAGAATGCTGGGGTGTTCTATGTTGGAGTCAGCACAAAGATAAACAAGATCTGTTCCAATTTGTTTTTCTAACCTATGACTTCCCTATACACACCCTGACATTGTCACCATATTTTAATCAACCTCTACTTTAACCAATGTTTTCACCCTATTCCTCAATTCCTCAAATACAGTGCACTTTCTCTCTTATTCCCCATACTTAAAACCCTCTCCCCACCTCTTCAAACCATTTGAATCCTCTTCTTTCTTTATGTTACTACTGAGGTCTGTCCTCTTCAGAGAACACTTTCCAGATAATCCAATCCCAATTCTAGCCTGCAGGCGTGTGTGTGTGTGTGTGTGTACAATTCTATAGTAGCTTGTACATTCCTTCTGTGCAGATGCTGTTTGCTTCCTAGGCAGTAAACATCTTGAAAGTGATATTGCCAAGACCCCCATAATTCGATCCCATCCTACCTATATGCACTTTTATGTCTTACTACCTAGCCTTCGGCTCAGGTCATGATCCCAGGGTCCTGGGATTGAGCCTCGCATCGGGCTCCCTGCTCTGCAGGAAGCCTGCTTCTCCCTCTTCTACTCCCCCTGCTTGTGTTCCCTCTCTCACTGTGTCTCTCTCTGTCAAATAAATCAATAAAAATCTTTAAAAAAAATTAAAAAAAAGTGATATGTGAATTTTATATACATTTGTTCCCCCCACAGTGCTTTGTATATAAGGGATTCAAAAATCAGCGTTTATTTCAATATATTTATTGGCCATTTATGATATGTTAAGCACCAGCTTAGGGAATGGGAACCAAACACAGATCAGATATAGACCTTGACTTCAAGGACCTCACAGTTTAGCCAGGAAGAGAGACCAAAAAAAAAAAAAGAGTTCAATGTAACAGATTGCAATGCCTATATCAGAGATTTGTTCAGATGCTGTCGGATCAAAGAGGAAGAGCACTAAACCCTGGGACATTTGGAACTAACATCTAAACTGAGCCTAGAAAGGTGAGTGTGAGTTAAACATGTAAAGAGAAGAGAAAATGGGCATTTGAGAAACAGGCAGCAACACAAGCAAAACCATGAGAATAGAACAAAGCATGGCTTGTATAGGGGAACTGCAAATAGCTTATGCCTAGAACATAAGATTTAACAGAAAGGTAGCAGGAGATGAAATTGGGGAGGAAGCCAGGGTCCAAATCCTAGAGTGTAGTCCCTGATAGAAGCTTGTAGGTTATTCTATGAGTAATAAAGAGCTATTGAGGGATTTTAAGTCAGGAGATATGTTAAACGACATATATTTTAGAAATATGAAAATGGTGGCAGTGTGAACCATAGATTAGAAAGACAGGCCTTTGAGAAGGCTATGGTACTAAGGAAGGAGTGAAAAATTGTTAAGAGTCACAAATTTGTGCTACTCACCTCTTGTCTCCTAGCCCTGGATGACTTATCCAAAGATGGCCAACTAGATTCTCTCTACTAGGAATCTGAGAGTTTGATAAAGACATAGAGAGATGGGGGCACCTGAGTGGCTCAGTGGGTTAAGTGTCTGCCTTCAGCTCAGGTCATGATCCCAGAGTCCTGGGATCGAGCCCTGTATCAGGCTCCCTGCTCAGCGGGGAGCCTGCTTCTCCCTCTCACACTCCCCCTGCTTGGGCTCTGTCTCTCTCTCTGTGTCAAATAAATAAATAAAATTAAAAAAAAAAAAGACACAGAGAGATAAGGATGATTATAGCTGAGTTGTCTTATGCAGAGTCCCAGGCAGAAGGGCTAAGCTCCACCCACTGAGGTCCCCAGAACTGCAGCAGATCCAGTCCTCCCTGAAGCATAGGACTTCAATTCTGTGAGCTTTCCCAATAGCTTTTCAAATATCCTCCCCCATCCTTTTTCTTCTGAAATTAGTCAGAGTTCATTTCTGTTGTTTGCAACAAAAACAACCACCTAAACCGATGTAGGCTCTAAAGCCAGCTAGCAGCACTGAAGAGGGATAAATGAGGGACATCTGAAAGATGTTAGGATGATACAGTAATAGGACTTGACCACAGGCTGCTGGATATAGTCACATTTTTAGCTTGAATCCTTGAGTGAATGGAGGTGCAATTTACTAAATTAGAAAATGAGGGAGGTAGAGTGGGTTTGGGGGGGATAAATGATGAGTTTTGGTTTGGGTTGGTTGAATATGAGGTACAGGTAGGGATTTTGTCTAATAAATGGCTTAAAATATGGGTCTGGAGCTCAAGAGAGTGGTTTGGGATAAAGTAACCCATTTGGGAGACAGCCTCAAGTTCATGTGCTAATGGAAACCATGGGAGTAGATGCGATCAAGCAGGAGAAATGATGAGCTGAAAACACTAAGACACAGGACAGAGCCCTGGGCGACACAAACACCAAAGCAAGAGCATCCTGAGCAGATGTACAGAGAACACTGAAAAGGAGTGGCCAGAGGTTGGAGGAGAACCAGGAAAAGATAGCCATGGAAATCTTGGAAAGAGACAGTACCATGAAAAAGGGAGAACCTCTACCTTACACCAGCATCTAAACTGCAACTTTTGAAGGCACAGGAAAGGATTTTTAAAACTCACAAAAGTTGCCAAAACTTAATAAACAATCCAGTGCTGCTGATTCTAAGGCAGATAAATCTAGATGGAGAAAGCCTACTAAGCTGGAGTTCATGGCAGAGCCGGGATTTGCTGGAACAAGCAGAGACTGTCTGAGAGAAGACAATGTGAACATGTCACACATTCTCCACTGATGGTCTTCTTTTTCAGACATAGGGGCTATATCAACCAAAACTCAGGTCGATTGTCCCTTTTTACAGGACCTAAGAGTGGGTCCCTCATCCTTTCACCTCCACAACTTTTCACAGCCAGATGGAGGCCTCACAGACAGGGTAACAGCTGCGTAGTGAGGGTGGGGTGCCAGGGTGACACAGTGCATCCTGGAAGATGGGACCTTAGGAGCAAAGAGCAGCGAGTGAGGACACCAGGCAGGGAAAAGCTCTTTGCGGAACCACTGTCTTCCTGTCCTCCTATTTTGAATTGGTAATAAAATAGAAACATCTACCCCTTTGAAAGTATTGCTATGGTAGTATCCACCCTTCTTTCCTTATACAATGAAAAAGTAGTGGCCTGGGCACCTGGGTGGCTCAGTCGGTTAAGCAGCTGCCTTCAGCTCAGGTCATGATCTCGGGGTCCTGGGATGGAGCCCCACATTGGGCTTCCTGCTCAGCGGGGACCCTGCTTCTCCCTCTGCCCCCCCCCCACCGCTCGCACTCCCTCTCCCTCTCTCTCAAATAAATAATTTTTTTTTAAGAAAAAGTAATAGCAGATAGGGCTGAGCAAGGGTAGCTTATCCCATTCCTGTCTCTTCCTTTTATAAACAGCCTGCTAGCAACATGTGGTAAATAATCCGGGGAGGCTCTTCCTTTGTCAGGAGACGCCCACTGTTTATCAGTGACCAGGTGTGTCTTTCCAGTTCACGGGGATGTATTAGGAAGCCAAATTTATATTCAGATGCCAGCCATAGGTCTCCAAACTAGCCTCTAGCAAACCAACCAACCAATCAACCAACCAACCAACCAACCAACCAACCAGCAACAACAACAAAAAACCTCTGGTATTTTGAACTCATCTGATTCTTGCATGTTTTTATTAATTGCTTGTAGGAATTATTTATTAATTCAACGAACAATTTATTAATTGCCTGTAGGAATGTTTAGTAGCTCAAGTACTTCCACAGGGGCCTGGCTGCAGTGAAGGCTGCGACTGCCCCATTAGTGTTCCACATTGGTGCAGACACCAGGAGATGGGGGGCGTCTGGGAGGGGGCTGGGGGGGTCCAGAAACTTATCTCCTCACAAAAGCAAAAAGAAAAGCCTGCTAGAAACTAGAGACTGGGCAGGGCGTTTTGCCTGGCAACCCGTCTTCCATCCGTGGGCAGAGGGGGCCTGGGATTTATAAATTCATTCATCTCAGCTTTGACCAACACCAAATCTGAACAGAACTAGCATTATTCAGAGATGAATGAATGGAAAATGATTTTCAGAGCTAATGAATTTTATGAGGAGGAGAATGTAGCAGCAGTAATAGCCACTCTGGCTTAAATAGGGAGCTAAGAAAGACTGCCAGAAATGGAGATATATAAGGAAGAGCTGGGAATTGGGAATCTGGGCATTCAAGGCCATGAAATTTTGTAGATCTATTTGTAGATCAATCTATTGATCTATCTATTTATTTATTTGACAGAGAGAGAGAGCACAAGTAGGCAGTGTGGCAGGCAGAGGGAGAGGGAGAAGCAGGCTTCCCGCTGAGCAGGGAGCCCAATGCGGGGCTCGATCCCAGGACCCTGGGATCATGACCTGAGCCGAAGGCAGACGCTTAACGACTGAGCCACCCAGGCGACCCTGTGTGTAGATCTATTAAAAATATACTACCCAAAGCAATCTACAGATTTAATGCAATCCCTATCAAAATACCAACAGTATTTTTTACAGAACTAGAAAAAATAATCCTAAAATCTGTATGGAACCGCAAAAGGCCCTAAATGGCCAAAGCAATCTTGAAAAAGAAAAACAGCTGGAGGTATCCCAATTCCAGATTCCAAGTTATACTACAAAGCTGTAGTAATCTACACAGCGTGGTCCTGGCACAAAAATAGATCAGTGGAACAGGATAGAAAGCCCAGAAACAAACCCACGATTATATGGTCAATTAATCTTAGACAAAAGAGGCAAGAATTGTCTCTTCAACAAATGGTGCTGGGAAAACCGGACAGCTACATGCAAGAGAATGAAACGGGACCACTTTCTTACACCATACCCCAAAATAAACTCAAAATGGATTAAAGACCTAAATGTGAGACCTGAAAGCATAAAAATCCTAGAAGAAAGCCCAGGCAATAATTTCTCTGACATCGGCCACAGTAACTTCTTTCTATATATGTCTCCTGAGGCAAGGGCAAGGGAAGCAAAAATAAACTA